TTTAGTATTAAAATGATAAAATATTCAGTGTTATTCTTTGTTTTTCTAGCTGTTTACTAATTTAGTCGATTACTAATTAAATGAGGCTCAAGTCCAACGTGAGTTTAATAAACAAATTCAAACAGAAAGGTTTTTATATACTGTTTAGCGTCAAATGATAAGAATTGCAATGGATTAATAAGTACAATGTTAACAAAAAAATAAATAGTTTTATTTTAGCGTAAGTGTTGTAAACAAATCATAGGGTTAGTAATATGCATAGTTATGCTATACGCCAGATGAAGGACTCTATGTAAAATAAAGCCGAGTAATCGTCCATTTGTTGCTGGCAAAATGATCAATTTGATTTTATTCAATGATTTCGTTCACACTAGCTTTCACTTTGCAGCGCACGATTATGTCAACAGTCATTTCTTTTATGCCATTAATCAGCCCAAATGGTTTTCGTTGAAATAGGTATCTATAGACATATTTGTATGTCTTGCATAGTTCTTATATCTATGTATGTTAATAACCAAGCATTACAGTTGCGGTTCTTTCAAATTTCCCTCCAAATTTACAACGTGAGCCAAGCTTACCCTACTAAAGCTCGATAAGGAGACACGACCAACAAAAAGACTTGAAAAACAAAGTGACTGGCAATCTTTTTTGACAAACTGAATATGAGTATTAAGGCCAATACCCAATTTTATTGCTTTTGAAAGCAGAATGGTTGTGCTGTATCGTAGGCGTGGATAAGCAATTTGCATAGAATTTGAAGCCAATAGGAAAATTTTTACCGCAAATACACACACGAACATACTTAAATGGATTCAGAAATTGACGCAGTTTAAATGCAGATTTCCTTCTGTTTGTTCCAGATGCAGGTTTCCTTCTGTTGTCCCATACGTAGGTAAAGGATATAAAAAAATAATTTTGAACTTAACGTGAAAAAACTATATGAAATATTTTTTTTGACCTAATATCCGCAAGCGGAAGCAAATATCAACATACATAGGTACTGGAAGAAAAGAAGTGAGGAAAGAAGGATGGAGTCTGAAGCTCCTGGCTGGGAGATTTGTGAACAAGTACTATATTTTTCGCTATAGTCGTAGTCACGGGCCAATCGTAATCGGAGTATGATTCAGCACTAAGAATCGAATTCCAGTATGCCGATCTGATAATTGCGTTTCTTATCTACTAGACTCTACGAATGGAGGGAAAGTAAACCTAGTTCCAGGTGAAGAGTTAATAGACGTAGCAATATATGTATTTAGTTAAAGAAAGTGTGAAGAATGCCTACAGACTAACAACAATTTTACCAAACTTATTCACGGAATAATGGACTAAACGTAAAAATTTATAACGCATATTTAAATTATAATCTAGCAACTCATTAACAGAACGTGGCGAAGAACTGACTGAAGCTATTCATTTTACAAATGTTTAAGAGCTGTAGACTTTGACAGGAATAAATTTATTTTTATTTAATCTTTTTCTTTTAAGACAAGAAATATTTCGTTGGCTTTTACACCTTTAGTTGCTATTATAAAATAGGCTACAGTCTCTTATATTTTTAGTGGTATTCATTAGAAGCGTCATAAAAATTAATTCGATACTAAACAACGCAACAAAGATAAGTAGCTTCTATGAAGGGACGTCTGACGTTCCTTCCTTCGATTATCTGTCGGTTTATTCTCAATTTATGTGGCTTGGTAATTCAAATTCAATTTGTTTTTACGAATATTGAAAGAAAATAGAAGAAGAAAGAAGTAAATGAGCGAACTTCGAATTCTGGCAAGTTAAAGGAAAAGTAAATAAGCGAACTTCGAATTCTGGCAAGTTAAAGGAAAAGTAAATGAGCGAACTTCGAATTCTGGCATTTTAACGCAGAAGTAAATGAGCGACCACTTGTTAGAATGTAACTATTGAAAATATTTATTCTCCTTTCTCCGCATCAAGGATATTAGAAAAGTTCCTCTCAGAAATAAAAGGGATTAATTTGAATAAATTTTTTTGAGGTACCGTGATGGGCGCGTTGCCAATTGTTTTAAATGGCTGGTTCCCCTGGAGGCCTACACCATTATAAACTTAAACAACACATTTTGCCTCTATAGCCTTCAAGACGAAAGAAAAATATCATTCAGTTCGAATGAAAGAGAGAAAAATCATAGACGGACGGACAAACACTCACTATTTTCATCGATAATAAGTAAGAACATTATGGTCCAGCAAGGCCACCGTCAAATACCTTACCTCACAATGTCTAAAACAACTCTAATTTTTGTATGAAATTACTATTAAGGGTTAGTTTTTATTACCAGATATATTCCAAAATATAGTCCAAATTTGGTACAGTTTGTATTTTTTTGTTAAACTACTATTATGATATAATTTTCATCATGAAATATTGAAAATTATACTTTTTGTCTTATGAAATTTAGTTTTCGTTGTATGAAAGGGTTCAAAAATTGCCTCAGCGGGTCCAGAGTTTTCATACCAAGTTGGAACGCCCAAATACTACTACTTAGCCACTTTTGCTGAGTAGTTTTGAAAATTAAAATTTTTTCCCATATAATAAGTTTTCAGAATACGGTGCTAGACGGAGAGTGGTCAAAAATGTGAACCGCTCAGAACCATTTTCAATAGCGTTTGTCCCGTACTGTACGTCACTGTACCAAATTTCATCAAAATATCTCATAAATTGCGACCTGTAGCTTGAACACAACTTCAGATTACGGTTCTGAATAGGTAAGCTTAATAAAAGTATACCCTGCGGCACGAGTAGTGTAGGGTATAAAAAAAGGTAAAATCTACAGGCATTTTACGCCACTTTCGCTGGTTATTTTTTGGCGTTCCACACATTTAAAATATCAAATATACCTTGCACGTTAATAATATTCTTCTAAAAACGGCAAATATGAAGAACGCAAACTGTATATTTTTTCTTAATTGTTTGTAATATTTAATTTCATTGCAACCATTTGCCCAAGCAGTGAGACTCATATTTAAAAAGAAACGAAATGATATGATATCATTGAATTGACGATTGGAACGACGAAAGATAAAAGCAAGAATAAATTTTTTTTATTAGTTGTTTAAAAAGTTCCAAAATGTGAACAAAGGTTAATGATTTGAAACGATTAGACAGATAATAGACAAGCTAAGACCTCTTTATGTGCGTCACTATTTTACTTGATATTGTAGTTTTTTCACCTTAACTTACTTGCATTCAATTTTTGCTAACGATCTGTCAGTTGTTTAATTTATTTTCATACAAACAGTTACCATTTAAACGCTTGTGTCAAGTATTGAATTTAAATTTTAAACGCCAATATATCTAAAATATCTAAATACAAATAAAAAAAACGGATTTGAAAAAAACGTACGCAAAAATACGTAAGACGACCATGAACACCATAAAGCCAAGCTTGTGTACTTACTTCTAGATGATCACATAGCTGAGAGTTAGCTTTCGCTTTTGTATTCAGCTGTTTGGAAAAAACAATAGCGAAAGCTTAATTTTAATACGTGATTACTCCTTTGAAGTTTTCACTGAATTTACGGCAGGGTTGTTTGTCCTCTTGTACTCATTTGGTGAACACATTCCCATTTTTAATCAGAGATATTCTCATATTTTGAGAATGAAATTTAATCGACAAGGGTTCGATTTGTTAATCTGACTCAATACCCAAATATGCGAAAAGCTGATCAAATTTTCCTCGTCATTGGGATGTCTAACGAAAAAAAATATATATATGAAAAAGGGAAGATATGAAACTACAAATGGCTCAAAACAAAATATCCGTCAGCACACGGCGCACTAAGTTTGTTTTTCTTTCGATGGCGCCCATAAGTAAGCGTCGAAAATTCCACAATGAGATTTTCTGCCCGTTCATTTCATGCAAAGACAACGGAAAAAAAGCAGAAACTTGCTAGCTTCCGTAGATTAGGTGTGAGGACAGAGCAGATTCCGACCACAGTTATTAATGGACCAAAAGTCCATTCTGATTATTCTCATCAAGCAGTTGCAAAAGATCGTAGCTATAGTCAGTGCTCAGTCGGTAAAGACGTAACACTCACCGATTGGCTGCGCCATTACTTTTCCTATCTACTTCTCTTTTCACATTTCTTTTTGGCCGTCACCGTGTTCCACAAATAGCAGACATGCCATGAGTGATTGGTCACATTAAAAAACAATGGAAAAGAAGTCTTATCTTAAAATTTCGAATCATCTCATTAATTAACTGGACCGATTCCGATCGATGTCCGCAGTAAGCAAAAAGATTTATGGAAACGCAAGCCTTTGCTTTCATATGTATATATATATAGATGTCACTTACAGTACAAGGGTGTATTTAGTTTGTGCGAATGCATGCAACGCACAGAAAGAGTTGACATAGGCCCAACTTTTACTCGTGATCGGATGTAGGCAAGTAAAATAATCGATTAGCAGATTCCAATTAGACGCGAAAGCAAATTAAATTAAATCTTATAAAATGAAATAACATCGAAAAAAAACGATACTTTCAACGTATTTATCTAAATAGCAATCAAATGCTTACACATTTACTTGATCGGCTTACTTATTGCCATAACTTAAAAAGCCAAATGCTGGAAATTCGGCTTGAAACGATTGCGAGACTTTCTTCTTTAGGTTCGTTGTACTGATAGCTCTTGCTGTGTGTTATAATTGTCCAACCAATAATTATACTTTTATAAAAAATTGTCAAGTGAAAGTTTGTTTTCCTTCTTTTTGTTTCTTTTTCTGGCATTCATTTGCACTCTATAAGAAAGTGCGGTACCTTTTCCAACGGCAGATTAAATCCTTTAAACGAACTAAATGAAAATATTTTAGCCATACTTTAACAATTGGCTTGCGGTTCATCGTTCGTTATTGAAGATTAAAAATATTTGAAAGTTCTCTAAAAATTTTCTTTAGTCAGATCTTTATTTGATTGCAAAATTAAATTCTTAATATAAACAAATTGAAATTTTAATTGTTTATTTTCTCTGTTGTGATCATCAAGTTTTGTGTGCTTTTAAAACGATCTGCACAGTCTGGCATATTTGGTAATTGATGTTGTTTTCATTTTCTAATTTCAGATTTAATTTTATTATTAATTTTTTTTTTTGTTAAGGAGGAACAAGAGGAAATATTAAAAGAATGTGGCCGGAGAATGTGGGTATCTTAGCGATTGAGATTATTTTCCCGTATCAATACGTCGATCAAACAGAATTGGAAGAATATGATGGGGTATCGGCTGGCAAATATACAATTGGCTTAGGCCAAGACAAAATGGGTTTCTGCTCGGATCGTGAAGATGTAAATTCTTTATGTCTCACGGTTGTTTCGCGACTGCTTGAAAGGCATCGCATTGAGCCTATCGAAATCGGCCGATTAGAAGTCGGAACTGAGACTATTGTTGACAAATCGAAATCGGTAAAGTCAGTACTAATGCAGTTATTTGCTGATAGCAATAATACGGATATCGAAGGTATTGATACCACAAATGCTTGTTATGGCGGAACGGCGGCCTTATTCAATTCAATCAACTGGATTGAATCGTCCAGCTGGGACGGCCGTTACGCTTTGGCGGTGTGCGCGGATATAGCGGTCTACGCAAAAGGCCCTGCGCGGCCTACAGGTGGTGCAGGTGCAATTGCTATGCTTTTGGGACCAAATGCTCCTCTTACTTTCGAAAGAGGTTTAAGAGCCACACATATGACACACGTGTATGATTTCTATAAGCCTGATCTAAGTTCCGAATATCCAACAGTCGATGGCAAATTATCGATTCAGTGTTACCTGTCAGCCTTAGATAAATGCTATCAGCTGTATCGTAAGAAATTTGAAAAGAAATATCCATATGCTGAAATCTTAGGTTTGGATAATTTTGATGCTCTACTATTTCATACGCCTTTCTGTAAACTTGTACAGAAATCGGTAGCTCGATTAGTGTTTAATGATTTCCTTTTAATGGCGGATGAGGCAAAACGTGGAATTATTTATCCAGGCTTAGAGCGTTTCAATAAAGCCACCTTTGAGGCAACTTATTTTAATCGTGATATAGAGAAAGCTTTTATGACACAATTTGCTAATGTGTTTGAAAATAAAACCAAGAAATCTTTACTGGTAGCTAATCAAGTTGGCAACATGTATACTCCCTCGGTATATTCAGGACTCATATCGTTGCTGGTGAATTCAAAACCCGATCAGCTGGTAGGCAAACGTATTGGAGTCTTTTCGTACGGATCGGGACTGGCGGCATCTATGTACTCATTGAAAGTAACAAAAAGTACGGCAGTCTTAGAACAGTTCATGGAAAAACTTGACCATATTGTGCCAATGCTTAATGTGCGCAAAAAAGTTAAACCAGAAATATTTGCTGAACTTATGGAGATACGGGAGAAAAATAATCATGCTGCGCCCTACACACCAACCGGCAGCATTAATGCCCTATTCCCGGGGACCTACTACCTCAAAAGTGTCGATGAAATGCATCGGCGCACTTACGAACGCACACCGCTTATATCCAATGGAGCACACTGAGCATGGAACAATTTTAAGGCTGCACAACATCGTTAAAATATAATAATTTAAAACTTTGATAGCTATAGCAGTATAGTAATAAGCTATCGAGACATTTATGTTTATAAGTTTTTTTTTTTTTTAATTTTAAGAAGTGAAAATGGGAAGTCGGAGGTTGGGAAGAATATTGTATATATCTACGCTTGTGTACATTTAAGAAAACACTTTTATATTGCAAATTGGATTTTGATTATTGGTCATGGTTTCTCATCTCTTTCTATTCTATGTTTCCTTGTCTCTCTAGCAAAACGAACATGTTAATGAAATACATAAACTCGACAATAATTTCTCTTGCGTTGTATCGTAATAATGTGAAAAGTTCGAAGAGCTTAAATAAATGAAGAACAAAATAAAAAGAAACCGTATTCCTATGAATATATTATACTATATAATAAGACAAAGCCTTAATAATTTTAAATATACTCATTTTAACGATCTCGACTAGCATTTAATTTTATAGCGTATCCTATCGCCATTTATGGTACAAATGTGTATATTAAGTTTGTGCGGATGTATGCAACATCCAGAAGGAACTGAGGTAGAGCCATCTTCTTTTTATACCGGTCGATTCGTGTTCTGACCCAAGATGAATCCTACTGAAAACGGTTCGGATCGACCACTTCCTATGGACAAACTTTGATCGATGCGGAAAGTGACTGTCAATCGTTACATTAAAAGATGTGCCCATATGCAGTTGTTCGGTGCGTTGCATACATGCGGAGAAACTTAATATACCCTTACACCATTAGGATTCTGGTATAAACATATTATATTATTGCACCTATACCACTTGTGATACAAGGTACAATTAGTTTGTGCGGAGTTGTGCGACAGGCAGAAGGGCAAACATATATTATCAAGTGAATGGAGTTTCAATCTACTTTATGATCAAGTAACCACGTAACGTTACAGGTAACGATCGCTCTTAACGGCAATAATAGTTCTCTCTTCTTGCTTCTATTACTTCAAGGTTTAATATATTTTTCCTCTTGTAGCGTAGCTAAAAGTTTCGCTTAACACAGAATGAAAGCTTACAATAGAAAACATGCGAATAGCCAAATTAAATATGGACTTTAATCAGGCCGTGTTCTTCTTCAGTTATACTTTCACCGCTTCTCTTTGTTGAAAGCCGTGGCGATATTCTTCCGCAAGGCAATATGGAGTGATAAGTAATTATTAAAAGAACACGGTCTTTGCCGCGCCGTGAACTCAACAACGTTATCTAATTTAAAAAATCATTTGCAAAATCAAAACAAAAACCATTGGTAAATTGGTACAGTAAGCTAAAACGTTAACATATGACATTGATTTGATTGTAGTGTCCAGAGATTAAATAATGAAATGCTTTAAAAAAATATTACGATGCGTGCCTTAGGACATTTCTATTATTCCATTTGCTTACCCTATCTCAAAGGAAATTATATAAAATTTAAGCATATTGATAATGTAGTAATAATTTCAGTTCATTTTGTTAAATTTATTTAAAAATTTATTAAAAAAATGAAACTTCAAATTTAAAAAAAGTAACGCCTGAAAGAAGAGGCAAAATAATGTAATTAGAAATGATTGATAATAAGGAGATTGTGTGCAATGTGTGTTTAAACTTACCATTTGGAATCACGCGAGTTTTGAAAACATCCGCCGGTCGAAAATTACCAACGAATCTGTTGTTATCATATAAATCCTAAGGAATTCAAAAGAAATACTTTTTTAAATAAAACATTTAAAAAATACCATTAAAGTAAAGGTAAAGGTAAAAAAGGTAAAAACACTATTAAATACCCTACACCACTTCGCTTTGTACAGTTATTTAAACAACAACATTTCAAAGTAGGGTTTTATATGGGAAGCGCCTGAAAAAGTGGCCCGATGAAAACCTCTTTCAAAAGACTATTGCCTAAACCCGTCAGTGTATCGAAACCCATCCAAAATATGTAAAAAATTTGGACTCATAGATTGAACACAACAATACAACACCGACGGAGAAACAGACAAGCTTAGATTGATTAAGAAAGTGATTCTAACTCAGTCAATAAGAGGTGATGGATGTGTCTTAAATTCTTTTAGACCTTGGTTATAGGCAGTGGTTGATTTGAATCATATTCAATAGCGTTTGGTGTTGGAGCAAAATACGTCGGTGTAGGGTATAACAATAACAACTCCTTTTATCTGAATAAAAGTAATAATTGTAGGAATTAATACTTACCGTTACAATGTAACCTTTGTCAGATACAAGATTCAATTCGTTGAGACGGAAACTAATAGCATAAGGTGCACCATCGCTGCGACGACTAACAAAAGCGACTGCGTAAGATTGATTGCCGTCAGTTCGTACCGGAATAATGGGTCGTGACCAAACCTAAGTTCGTAAGAAATTTATGAAAAAAAAGGCAATCAATGAATGGCAACTATTTTAATTCTACCTCAATGTCCTTTTTCAAAAGTAGACGACGTCCCTGTATGCCCAAAGGATCTTGATCGACAGCAATAATATGCCTGGAAATATATACATTTTAAGTATTCTAGGAATATTTGATACTTCAGTAGAAACTAATTTACTTATTCTGTAAAATTTCTCTAATTTCGGGCCGTACAGTCTTTAAATCATTCGACATTATTAAGGGTGCTGCTAATATGGACCAAACAGCCATTTGTAATTTACTTTGGTCGTATGACAGTCCGTAGTTACCTAAAATCAACTGAAAAGCAATTGAAACAATAATTTTGCGTTATATGTAAAACGTTTACCATATCAGGATCATTCCAATGACCAGGTCCAGCGTGCGGTTGAATACGATCTTGATTTTTCGAAAAATAATCCATTATTTTGAATACTGATTCTAACGAATCGTCAATGTCTTGCCAGTTGCGCCATAAATTGCAATGTTTCTTTAAAGCTTCATAGTTAGGCTAAAGCAGATAAAAAATCTTACTACTCTATAAGATCTTTAGTAACAAGAAGCGTGAAAAAACGTACCAATTTTCCTTTATCTTCTTGATAAACAGGCCAACTACATGAATAAACCATTGGCCTGCCAGTTCTATTCAATAGTCTCCCGAATTCTGGATAACCTTTATCCATTTCATTAATATCAGCATAACAACCATCTAACTTCACATAATCAACATCCCAATCAGCAAAGCTTTGAGCATCTAAGGCCATATGTTTAATAACACCCGGATATCCGGCGCACGTCTGCGTACCAAAATCCTGATACAAACCGAATTTTAAACCTTTGCCATGAATCTATGCGGAATAAGAAGAAAAAATAGTTAAAACAATTTAAACAAAAGATCTGTTTTTACGGTAAACTTACATAATCGGCCAAAGCTTTTAGTCCGCTAGGAAATCGCTCACGATCTTCAATTAACTTTTCGGTAATATTATCACGCGTTTTCTCCAACCAGCAATCGTCTATAATAATATACTCGTATCCAAGATCAGCATAACCCTCGGACACTAAATAATCAGACGTTCTTTTAAATAATTGCTCACTACAATGAAAAGATAATTAATAGTTAAGCATTTTGTTTCATCTATGATGAAAATGACAGACATGAAAAAGAAAACTACAAAACTAGATCAAAAACCTAACTAAACACAGGAGTCATAAACATTTTTCCATTAATCTTAATGATTTATATACAATGAGTACTAATTATTTATATGAAAATATTTTAATAAATAAAAGATTAGTATTAAAAAGCAGAATGCATATATTTTTTTGGATCTCTAATCAAATAATCAGTTTACTTTACTCCTGCTTCAAGCAAGTTAAGCCTGTGCATCAGAACGTGTAAAAAGACAATGCAGGAGCTAATCTGCCTTCACTCCGACATTCGGGCTAGTCTAAAGCACCCTTAAAGGGCTTGCAATAACTTCTAAGCTTATGCTGGAGTACATTCAAACCCGAAGCGCCATGAGATGCACCAATATCGCGTACTCGAACATTCAGTTATCGAATGCAGTGAAGCTTAGCTGACCGTCTAGCCAAGAGGGGAGCCTGAGGAGCAATGATAGGCCTGGCTTACCAAGGAGCGACATCATGCTTCTACACGGGTTATAACTTCTAACGAATTTAATTTCGTTGTTGTTGGACGAATAGGTTATGGATGTGGACAGAAGATTGCATTGAAAATATTAGAGTAATTGGCATTTTTTCCTTAGATAATATTTTATTTTAATGGGTAGAGATTTGTAAATTCATAAATCAAAGATTAAAAATAGCCCAGTTCTTTACTAAATCCCAAAATTCGAAATTGTGGATTAAAAGACTATGATAAACTTGCATGCCGAGCCGAAGGGTCACTGAAATATATCCCGGGCCATTTCATTTACAAACCTCTTTCCGTATAAGAAATATTGTAATCTTAACAACATGCTGGCGTCCTAAACGTTGATAATTAAAACATATTCTTACATGTTTGCCATTGATCAAGTTTCACCAAGCAGCAGACAAGCCTTAATACATAAAATTAAAGCATACCTTTTTAGTGAGAGCCCCTGATCACAGCCATAAACATGTATAGTAAAATTGCCTGTAGTTTTTAACCTTTATCAAAATTGCTTTAAAGTCTGCAGCCAATAATTATTAGACTTTCAAATTTCTGGTATTGATTTTCAATAAACCCCAAAATTATGCTTTCATAAAGTAATTGACAAAAATCAGCAAAAACGAAAAAAAACAAAGAGAAGAACAAAATTATTTGATTTAAACAAAAGCTGCCACTTGTCCTAGGAATCTAAACAAAAGCTGGTGGAATTTCTATGAATATAAACAAAAACTCAGAAAAATTCTCCTCGCAACATTTTTACTTTGTTTATGTTCATGTTTGCTTATGTTTGTTTATGTTTAATGGCTTTCGAAAGGCGACGTGATTTCCTACGGCAATAGTAAAGACTGAGAATGGGCTATCAACCGTGAGTGGTATGAATTAGCAAATTTGGGTCGACAAACTGTTGAACGTGAGATGACGAGTGTCAATAACCAGTATAAAATATCTCGGTACCGCCTTAAGCATATCTAGTTAGCCGACCTGAGTAGAGTAGCTAACTTTTTCCGATTTATGCAGATCAAGCAAAGAAAAGAATTTAACAGATATCAGTTACATTGCTTTACCATTTAACAGATCTCAGTTACATTGCTTTACCATTTAACAGATCTCAGTTACATTGCTATGCCATTTCTTTTAGTTTAGAGAGTAAGATGTACTTTCTTTTATAGAAATTGTAAAGGAAAAAAGCCAGCTAAAGCTTTTGGCGAAAAATCAAAGCCATTTTACAAGTGCCCAAAGAGCTTGGTGAAAAATTGAAATCGAGTGAGAAATTACCAAAAAAATAAATATATATTATAAATAAAAAAGGGAGATACCAAATAAAATTTTATATTGTATTAAAAATTGGAAAATTTCTCTAAAAAGGCTTTTTTGTACAGAAAGTAGAGCATCGCCCGTATAACATTGATTTATCCACTGTAGTTTTTGAATAATGACCAAAAAACTAAATTTCTATTCCTTTTGAAAAACAGACTTTTCTCAGTTTACTTAACACTATAGACTTCTGCCAAGTTTGAAGTCAATAGCTTCATTTTTGCGGACAGGACAATACTTGCAACAGACATTACACAGACGAACAGACGGACATGCTTAAATCGATTTAGAATTTGATGCTGATCAAGAATATATATACTTTGTGTACTGTCTGATGTTCTCTTCTAGGCATTCCAAACGTTTTGATATAATGAATATGAAAAGATCAAATTTGTAATATTTTAGGCCGAAAATTGGCTCACAACAATGAATTGACTTAGAAATCCACCTTACCGAATTTGCACTACGTAGCTTGATTTTTGGAATACACTTTTTGGAAATGTAAGCCATTTTATGCCAAAAAGGCCCAAGTGCTAATTATTTATGGTTAACGGTATCTGTTTTATAGCCTCTCTGAAGCTTTCTTCTGAGCGTTGCACAGCGTTTGACAAAATTATTATATCCCGTCAAGCTTTTCGTATAGCTTTTGGGTATAAAAACCATCACTGTTTATTTGTAAACACAATATGAAAATGGTTATAAGAAAATTAATAAATTTTCTTTCAATATACTTGAGAATTTTAACAGACGCGAAGAAAATATTTGTCATATAAATATTCACCTGATGCACTCATCTGGATACTTGGAACAGTCGGTAATGCAGCGATAACGTTCCCAATGCATCCAGCCCATGGGAGGAGTACGCGCTAAACCGTTCTCTAAAGCGTAACAATTACATATCATTATTGTAAGTAAAACAAGGAATTTTTGAATTTTTCTCATGATTCTTCTTCTTTTACTTTTTATTAAAAAATTTTTCAATTTAATTTAGATAATTAATTCAATGAATAATCGAACAACTAATAGCGTCTAAGCAAACTGGATATGAATTTATATATGAACGAAAATTTATAAATAATTAAATAAACTAGTGATAAAAGACATTTGACTTTTTTTTTTTATAAGTAAGAAGTGAGTTTTATTGGACTTTAGATAAAAGACCAAAATTTATGTAAATTCACTGCTGGTGATTTTCAAATTTTGTCCTATATTTTCTTTTTACTATCATCGGAGCAATTATGTGAATAACATTATGCCGGTACTTATAATTCACTAAATACTTCACAACTTCTAGTACTTATTGCTTAAAAAGCATTTTAATTGCACCCTAGGTTATTATATTGTAATCATTATATTTTACTTTAAGTCATTTTTTTTTTATTCAAAAGATTTCATTCTTATCGATAAATATGAATTTCCCGTCCATTCGCTGCGTCCGTATGTTGCGAATTAATTCGACGATATTAAAATTTATTTGCCATGTCTTTATCTTATATTTAAGTCTTATGCATATTGCGTTTCACTTAGCTTAAGCCGACTTCTAGATACGTTTGCGATTGATCGCTTCGTTTCTAAAATGACTAGAAGTTACAAACGGAATGAAAATATTGATAACGGTTCACATTCCAATGATGTTATGAAAATGCTCACACAAACAGTTTGTATTTACATTACTTGTCCAAACTGTGGCCCCTTTCAATATGAGTATACAGAGAAATATTTGAAGAAATATTGTACACAGTCGTCTGTTGAAAATTCATAGTCAAAGTCTTCGCTATTTAAAATAAAAATAGAATTTAGACTTATTTCAAACACAGGGTTGTTATTTCGGCTGAAAAGGAGTCGAAAGCCTTTTGATAGATAAAAGCAAATGTAATGGTTTGTTCGGAAAATCATTTTGCTTTTCTGTTTTTTTTTTTCTTAAAGAATATGTAATTGCTTTTGGTCGGGGGCAAATTCACGATTAGACCGCGTTGCCGCTATAATCATTTGTTTGTTTATTTGATTTCAAGCAATAGCTTTTGTTTGGTGCTCTTTCAAATATGAAAAGTTCAATACATTTTCCGTTTTTTTTACTATCGAAAAGACAAAAGTGCTGTTCAAACAAGAAGAAAAACTATTGAATATGCATACAGAGGATGTGCCACAACGCTGACGCCAAAGCTGGTTCATAACATTTCGTTCCCTTGAAGATGCATCACGTTTTGGAAACTCACTAAAAATTAACAGCAAACATAAGCAAAATAACAGCAAAATAAAGGCATCTATTGATGCGAACGATCGAATAACACCTTATGAGATCACTAGGAAATTGAATTTCTCGAATTCAACCATTCACGATCACATGAAACCCCTTAATCTTTTCTTTTGAGCGAAAAAAAGAAATGACTACTCAGCAGTTTACATAAAAAAAATCCTTCAAATAAAAAATATTCGTTCGAAGAAAGATTCTTTCTTAAAACTGTGAAATGTACATAGGCATTGCTGAACGATTTTGGTATGTATATTATTACAGTTGTGTAATAATGAAGCGATTTTACGATTTTTTGACTTTTCAACTTATCGAAGTTTTGATTTCTAACCATGAAATAGTTCAAATTTTAGCGTGGTTTACACTGCGGATTACCCACAAAAAAGTGTGTCGCTCGCATCAGGCTTATGTACGCCAGTGTCACAATTTAAATTTGTTATACTCATTCCCATAAAAGAGCAATTAATTGTCTTGTAATCAAATTTATTGTATGCACTATAAAAGCTAAAAGAATATTTGAATTAGGCATGAGGTTAGCGACAATTCAAGTTGTGTGTGACAATTATTTGACGTATGGTAAAAATTAAACTTTCTAGTCCATGTCTTATATAAAATTAGAAGAAAAGGGTTGCATAAATACAATTTTTTGTACTTTTCACCACTTGCTCCGCAAAGGTATATTAAGTTTGTGCGAGTATATGCAACACTCGGAAGGGCTTGAGATATACCCACGGTTCATTATACCTATATCTAGATTATATCTAAGGTTGTCTGTCCTGCACTTTTGTGTTTTGATTCAAGGACGAACGCTATTGAAAACGGTTCCGATCATTTCCTATATAAAATCTATATGAGTGAATAACTATAGGGTGAGGTACTTTATGATGAGCCGCGGCCTACAATAGTATTATTACGTCTACTCACTATGCGTCTTACTTACTGCTACTACTACTACTATTATTTACTCGATACTAAAAATATCTTATACACCGAACTCGTTTTTTACACAATAAATGCTTTCTTTGGAAATCCGTGCAAAAAAATTACATGCGACATGGTAAATTTGGTGATATATTCCATAACTTTAAAAGATCGTACAAGATAAAAAATCTCCAAATTTTTTTTGAAGAAACCGTGCAAAAAAGGTAATAATGAAGTCGATATTACGGACTTATAAGACAAAAGCAATTGTTTATTATCACTACAAAAAAAAAAAACACCATTTAAAACTAGTGCACACTGAAAATTCAATCCATAAGCACAACATGCAAAAATTGAAATTAGGAATAATAATCAATTTGTCAAGTCTGACTAACCCATGCCAAAACACATGTATAGGCATACACCGACTGGCCTTTGATCAGGCTATTCCTCCAAGTGTATTTTTTTTTTTACAATTAGAACTAAAAAAAATTTTTTTTTTTTTTTGTAAATAAAGTGTATTGTAATGAGATGCAATAATTCGACCTCAGTCTTCATATATTTCAACGTTTTGTACTTAATTTTGTTTAATATACAGTACGTTGAAATATGCGTCAGTAAAAAGTCAAACAGTCAAAGACTTTGAATATCAGTTTTAGAAATTCGGCAGTTCTGCAATTTCTACATCAGATATTTTTCAGATAATTTTTTTTCTAACGTATAGTTGAAACGAACATCCGTCAACGATAAAGTTTTGTTTATCTATTTTTTTGTTGCTTCTAGAACAAATCGAACAACTATACGTCCGAATATAATTCTCATGTGAATTATTTCTATAAGAATTTTATTTATATGCGGTTGTATAGATTTAATAAAATTTTTTTTTTTTTAAATGTCTTTATTTGCAGTCTATTTACAATTAAACATTTGGGAAATGGAACTAACAAATAAAAAGAAAAACACATATAACACAATAGTTAAATTTCAGTGAATTTAACAAGTATACGCTTAATTAAGTTTTGACTTCAGGTTTCGAATGTACATTGGGGGTATCAGTAATGTGTCTACGTTTGATAATAAAGAATAAAGTAATCTACGATATATACATCTTTAAAAAGAAATAACTTAACTAATTCGCTAATTTGTTTCTTTCTTTGGGAAAAGGCTATGAATTAAAAATATTTTCAAAAAATTGAAAATGTGTGCGGACAAGAATGGAAAAACGTTGGACAAACCTGCTGTCAATAGATAAAAAAATGAAATTCAATCTGATAAAACTAAAATTCTCTTAACATACAGAGATAAGCAATAGTAGACAAAGAATTGCTTTTAAAATATTGTGTCTCCGATAATTTAATTATTTCTTATGCTTATAATGTTATTGACTTTTAATACTTAAATGAAAATTCGTAATACATTTGCAAATATTATAAAGACAAATGTTGAAATGATGAAAAAATGTTATCCGCAATATACTTGGAAAATTATTTAGATGAGTAAAAGAAAGCTGGTTAACATATTAATATTAATTACCCCCTCTGAATACCAAACACAATTTATTTTCTTCAGCTGTCAAGTTATGTTCCAAAAAAGTCAGTTTATTTTCTTATTACCAAATCTGTGAACAATTCGTTTCTAGGACGTGGAGATTATCTAAGAGTTGGATTTGTCACAGCTGCGACTTTTACATAGGAAAATGCCTTCATTAAGCTACACGTGAGAGCATAAATTATCCCGCTAAAATGTACTCAACATACTCTTCGGAGAGCTTTGAAGGAGCCATATCCAATACTAGAAAGAAAGTGCCAGAAGGAAGAAGTAGTAGTTTTCTCAAAGAATTATGTAGCTTCCTTAAAAATGCAAATATATCACTTTAATTATTTCGAGTATTCATTTCTACAAGATTTCTACTTTGAATGCTTGCTTTTACTAATTTTTGGTTTCTTTTCTTTCTTTTTCTTTTCTTGAAAGTGGAATGACTTTTCACATCTAAAATGTCCGGACATTCTATGTTTGCCCATTCACGGTCTTCAATGCGTTGAAATTAAACGATAAGCGTGCAATGATTTTGTGTCGTGGGATTGTAACGCCATCATTATTCATTTATTCATTTCCAAGACAGATAGGTTTAATTTTGACTTAATTTGATCCTCACACTCATCAAAGAATTTTGTTAGATAGCTACTTTTAAATTTGAAAAATGGTAACAGGAAAGTATTACCGTTGAGCCGATTTTTCGGATTGCGATAGTAAACTCGTAGTTTAACTTCTTATAAATATCTGAAAACAAATGTAAACAAGAAGCTATACGCTTTGAGTCGAATTTTTTACACACCTCCCAAAATTGTTCGATACGTGGTTATGCATATATATATATATATATATATATGTGTGTGTTAACAATTAATCAAACTATTTAAATCAATACTCACACTGCTATAGAAACATCTGCTCTACCTATGAGCATGTTTGTGCTTGTATACGAGAAGAAAAATAAAAACGAGCCCCCTTTTTTCGTTGAGACGCTCTTTACTTGAAGGTAAACAAATCCGTTTTGTTTCCATTTCATTTGTTATTTTTGAACGTGAATGTTTGGCACATTTTTGTCAAATTCACCTTTAACAGAATTGATGCTTATTCCAATGTTAAACTCCTAAATCACTTTGCCTTTTTTTCTCTTTGTGAGTTTGCCCAAGATAATTTTTGATTTTATTTTAAATTTTGGCTTTTAGTCTTAATGTTAAAATCCAGAAATATTATGTTCTCCTTTTATTTTCATTTTGATCTTTTACAGAAAAAGTACTTTCCAAAATACGCGCGCATTCAGAGGATCGTTTTTTGGTATCGAGTACGAGAAGATATCAAACTCTTTTTACAAATACTGTTCACAACTTTCCGGCTCGTAGATATTAATTTGGGTAATAACAGCGGTATCCACAATGTTGTTTTTTTTTTTTTCTGTTTAAAGCAACGACCGCGGAAAATGTCTTCCGATCTCAAATTGGAATGCCTGCGAGAAACGTACCTATTTTATTATATTTTACGTTTCTATTTTCCAGGTTTTTTTTTTTTTATAATCCTATAACGCGTTCTCAATTTTGGAAATTACCACAAATTAATCTTTTACCATTTCTTACTTCAATTGTCATTTTAACTTTATTGTCCCTTTACGTGTCGCGAATTGCCAGATAGAAAAGAAAATTATACGATCGAAAGGGAAATATACTTCAATTTTAAAAAAAGAAGAGCTCACGAATATATAGAGTTTACTGATTTTAAATCAAAATAACCCCGATTTTCCGAAATTACAATTGTCTTATAATAGATTTGCAACCATTTTTCTCCTTTTGTTATTTAGACTTTTAGTAAGTTCGCTTTCTGTAATGGTTTTTGCGCAAGTAAAATATAAACGAACTTCACCTCCGCCTGAAGCTTTGTCCTTAGCTATCACCTTAAGAGGTTTACCGTCCTTGGACCATTCCAGTTTTCCCCGAGGTATACCATGTGTTTCATCAAAGACGGGCTGTAACCATAAACAATTTGATCATCAGGTAGTGTAACAAACTTAGGCTTTTCCACTAATCAACAAAATGGTGAAAATACTCTTAACCCTTAACAATTATTTATTTTTCATGCTTACCGTGAACATTGGGTACCGCTCTAGGTGTTTTAATCAAAATGGAAACAACTCTAACCATATTGTTCACCCTAAAAATAAACACAATAGAACTGACCCCACTATCCGCCCACACCGTGAAAAACAAAACCATCAATTAACGCGGTTCACATACGGAAGATGCTTCACTTATTATTTTCTAAAATCTTTTTTTTTATTTTTTAAAATCACTTGTGAGATAAATTTCTTTCTATGTTAAAAGAAAGACAGGAAAAAGAAAAATTATTTTAAAGAAAACTAAATAACTAAAAACCGAAACCCGGTATCTTTATTTAACAAATAAATAAGAAAAATATTCATTGCTCCTTGCTTCTAAAGAACTTTTATCAAGTCAAGCTTAACTCTTATACACAATTCGTGCGTGAAAGCAATTTTTCCAGTTTCATGGTCTTGAAAATGGCAATATTTTTGTTCCTCCTTAATCAATAAATTAGAATTAGGTCTCTGCACAATGGAAATACCTGTGCAAGTATCTGTGCGCATTTGTCCCATTCTGCCTCAGGAGAAACCCAATACCGTATTAAATGTTGATGAGGCCAAAAATGCAGGTATGCAAGAAGATACAGCATTTTTGCCTAAATTAGACGACGATGCTCCCGAGGAAGAGAAGGAGACAAAATGTTGTGTAAAGGCCATAAATAGTTTATCTAGCGGTACATCAGTCGAAATAACGACACGTATATGGTTATCGTAGAATCTTTGATCTTGGACCTAACGAGAAGCGTTTGCTGAGATTTGAGGTGGAGCCTCAAGTGTATGGTGACTTTTACGAATAATTTGTTATAAAATTTGAAAATTTTCGCGTTAAACGCGTTCCTTAACGAGATTTTCGATATACTTTTTAACAATAATTTTAATTACTTTATTTACTTGCGTAGTGTAAAACAAAAATAAATTTTTGTTTACATCAAATATAATTAATTCATTTTACAAAATTTTAAATTAAACATAAAAAAATTGTGTATCTTTTAGTTGACTAACTCTCATTTGTACGGCATACCTTGAGAACCGTTGTAGAAAGAATCATGAATTTTCAACAAAAATTATCTTACGTTTCCTAATTTGGACGGAGTAGCAAACTCCCAAATCCAAGCATAACTTTATACTAACTACTACTTAACAGGACTAGTTACGGCATTACGACCAGCTCTGTTAACGCTGTTCTTTGTTCATAAAATTCGATTTTATTTTGACATCCTTGACATCCTTTTATTTGAAATCCTACTTTAAAATATTGGCTTTCTAACCAGTACAGTGAAATGTAAAAGCTTAAATTCGACTCCTTTTAGAATCAAAGTAACTTTCAAAAACGAATATAATAATGTAAAGTCTCCAGGGTAATGAAGATTGTCTTTAATTGATGAATACAATTTTGAATATTAAACTAAAATTCATATAACAAAAAAAAATGAAAAAAACCAAACCATAAAACAAATTTTATATTGTAACATATCAAAAATAAAACTTATGAGATTAATATTTAAAAGTAAAATTACAAGAATATTTATAAGAAACTAGTGGCGCGTTAACAAAGATGTATTAAGGAATCCAAAACAGAAGGAACTCTATTAAATGTATGATAAGAACTCAGAAAAGATCGACATGTAAGAAAATGCTGAAATGAAAGCATGAACTTTAAGCTGAACGTAACTGCAATAGAATCATGATAAACTAGAACCTGTTTAATTAATAGTTTCAACTCGAAGGAATTTTAAAGTAAAGAAAAAAACAAGCGAAATTTGCATGCCAGTTGAATTTGTATGAAAAACATTAGCAAAATATAAAGAGAGAAAGCATGCCAGTTGAGAGTTAATAAGGGGAAAATTTGATGTTTGTTACTTACAATCATACAATCAATAACAAAATCGTACAAGCGTAAATAAAAAACAGTACGTAAAATTTTTGGGAAAATGAAATGAAGTGGAATAATTTCATATAAATCATGTAATTCCAGATTTGAACTGCGGATTTGAACTTTGAATGCGGATATGAACTTTGAATGTGCAAGTCAATTTATTTTTATTAACATGTGAACTTGCCTGTAAAGAAACTGTAATGTTTTAAAATCAATTGCAAATCAACTGTAATTTTGTATTATATAATTAAAAGCCAACTTTTCAATTTTCGCAAAATATCTTAAAGCAGCTTTAAACTTTAATTTTCTATTTCATTACAATTCAATTCGAAGGTGCAGAAAAAAAATATAGCGTAAACAATTTCATATGTTTTCTTTTGAATTCGCTATGCCTTGATTTGTTTAATAGAAGGTCGGAACTCAACATACTTATCGATCACAAGCCTCTTGCTATGCCACTATGTCGTCGGCGGCTTAATAATTCATGGCAAGACATGTAAATTTTTGCGACGTTGTCAAATTGTCAAAATTGGCTATTGACTCAATTTATGTTTCCTTTGCGTTCGCTTCTGATCGACAGATTTGTAGAAACTTTGCGGACTTGATACGATGTTTTCATTCATTTTCAAAATTTAATGAATTGATTTGTAATTCTAAAAAAGAAAAGAAACTTACCAATAAGTGAATAAAAGATTTAAAATTATAGAAAAAAAATTGCTTTCTTACTTGACAGTTGAACAATTGATTCTGACAAATTTCATTGAATATATAATTCAACCATTTCAATTTTAGATTAGAAATCCGATTGAAAAACATACGAAATTGTTTACATTTCAAATTTTATAGCAAAGAAATGAAATCATTTTTTAATAAATTTAATTTCAATAAATTTATTTTCATTGCTAAAGTGAATAAATAACATTAACATATTGAATAAAAAAGGCGTGATGCAAAAAGTGATATACCAAAAAGCAAATATATTTTTTTTCGATGGTAAAACTTTTAATGATACTAAAAGCAATAAAACAGTTATATATAAATTATGATAAATAAAAGAAGCAGCAAAAGTAGCGACAATTCTTTCGAATGTAAATAAAAATTAGAATTTGAAACAACAACCACAAACGATGCGTTCAATGTGATGAGGTATCAAATTAAACAAAGCCCTCGCTAAATCCCCTGTTGAAAGGCAAAGCACAGAGTCGCTTATAATAAATAAATGGTTAAATGCCCAACTTAACAACTTAAATGGTAACGCCGTTCAGTCTGTTAAACTTAACAGAAAAAAACACGTTCAACTCTGTTAAAATGCAAAGCCATCGGCAAAACAAAGATTCAACTCTGTAAAATAGCAATATCAGTCCTCAAAGGCCTTTCGACGATCTGCGTTGGCTTTGGCAATAAAACGAAATATTAAAGCCATCTTAAAAAGTATTTATAATTTTATACTGAAAAAAGAAGAAGCCAACACAGCGCAGAAAATTTTTTTGTTAATTTGATGTAATAATTATCTATGTAACAAAACATATATACAAACAAGTTCTTATTAAAAATCCATTCAATTCATTAACATTTCTTTTGAAATAATTCCCTAAACCTTACTGCTGGCAATAGCGCAGTAGGTATCAGCTGTTATCGTTGAGCAAACACAGTTTATAAATTTTTCGCATTTCGTTTTTTGATCAATTGATTTTCAAAGCAAGAGAATTTGACGCAAAGTATATTTTCGGCAAACTTTCGTGCTCCAAACAACATTAAAAGCGATTAAAAAAGAAAGAAGTAATAAGAAATTAAAGAAAACTGTAGTAGTTTTATATCAAATTGTTGAAAAAAAAAATGTAAGTGAAGCACAATAAAACAAAATAACTTGTGTTCGTTAAAGAAAGGCAACGTGAACAAAAATCTATTGCTACCAATTCGGCCTAGAAGCGACAATAGTCGTCAACTAGAATCTTAATCTTAATAATAGTGAAAATAGGTACTTTATGATGAATAGTGAAAAAAGGTACTTTATGACCAAGAAAATAACGTGAACTTGGGGAGTCGTGTTATCTACGCAATCTGTTAGATTGGTATTGTGTAAAATGTAAAATGAAATATGCTTCTGATAGTTCCTATTGTGTTGTTTGCATAGTTATGTAGTGAGTATGTATAAGCACAAACTACCTTGATTAAAAATCAAATACAATAAAATATTGCTACAAATTTTATGCATAAACCCGTGAGCAAAAAATTTATCGACCCAAACTGTCATGTGACTTATCATTAAACAGCTGGCATGTGGTAAAAGAGCAACAAAAGAAAAATGAAATTCGCACAGGGTTGTTAAGTTGCCGTTTAGAGCTATTTAGGTGAAAAGCCTTGCTATTTGTTTTAGCGGCGAATAATTAAAGAAAACCGTTGAACTTCCAAATCGAAAAATTTAAGTTTAACAAACTCCTTTCAGACTTTAAATAATTTCTTGCTTTTATTTCTATTAAGCGCACATATTTATTTTCCGCACATAAAAGTAAAACGCAGATTAATGCGCTTCAGCGTTTATTTGGGAAATAATACAATTATTACTTAACAAACGGAGAGCATTAAGCAAATATGATATGACTTAATTTTTTTAAACTAATTCTATGTGTACTCAACCGACAATTACATGAAGCTATAATTTGTATGGTCTTGTATTCGGCCAATAATTAAATCAATCTGTAGTTTATGTTCTCTGTCTTGTGCCTACCTTACGTTATGTCTTAGTTTGTTTGTTATATCTCTTATCCTATTTACTCTCTAACTAAAAGAGAATAGGTTTTATACGAAATACTTGCCAACTATAATGTTCATTTGTTAGTTTAAAATTTTACATTATAATCACTAACAAATTAATTTTCCAAGATAGTATGGATGTCACAGAAGCCAATTTTACGCTCAGCACTCACGTGCGTTTTAACAGAAGTCTCAACATTATCAACAGAACTCAGCCATTATTAACGGAGTACTCTGAAGGTCCATGCCTTCTAACAGGAAACCCTAGACTTCTCTCTCTATTCTCAACATGTGATTTTTTTTTTTTTTAATATCAAAATAGGCATGAAGAAAATACGATTTAGGTATGATGAATAAAAAACCATATCTTAACCATGTTTTCAAAAGCAATACATACATACAATGAACAAGGACAAGCATCCTACACCATGAAAAGCTATTGTGGCATTTGTGGATATAACAAGTATTGTAGATGGCGTTTGTGGATATAACAAGTATTGTACATGGCATTTGTGGATATAACGCATGTTACGTGAATTTAAGAGAAAAATAGCTGTAGAAACGGGGTTATTGTATTTTGCTTTTGGGAATGAAAAACTAGAATGATTGAAAACTTTGCTTAAAAAGCTTTTCATTTTATAAAAATTTATTAACTAAGAAAACTTTTTCAATGAGATAATTACTTGTAAAATTTAAACAATTAAGAAATGCATACGAATAGACATGACGACAAAAAATAAAGCGCAGCATCTCTATTAAATGTTTAATCGACGAACCAATAAGACAAGTGATAAGTCCGTTCAAAATCTGATCAATTGGTGTAATCAAGTCATTCGGATTCCAGCAAACTAAATGCATCCTTATTGTAAACAGCGCAAGTGTATAAAACGGCTGTACATGAATTTGTCTCTACTCGGTTTGCTGGATCAAATTCCTCCGAGTTGAAAGGAGACCTTGGCAGTTAGAAAATGTGTTTTATTATAAGATCTGTACAATTGCAGTTTGATTCTTCAAAGTTTGAGCTTCTGCTTTATATATATGGTTGACCAAAAATCGTCTCTTTATTGCGCCGACTTTTACATTCACTTTTCAGTGAAATGAAAATTGTTCGTTCATCTAATTGCTTCTTATTTGTCGTTATGGATAATTAATTCAGATTTAGAAACTCATTGCAGCTTGAAGTTAGACTTTAGGCATTAAAACGTACTCTGCGTGGGCAAATCCCAAAAATTCCATTTGCATATAGTGTGATTATTGTAAATTCTATGAACATTTCGCACCTACTTTGAATACGTTTCTTCATTTTGTTTAACGTAACGTCCTTTTCCGGCACTTGTTTGCCTGGCATTAGTATAAAAAAGTTATATTAAATTTTGTTTTCTTTTTTTCAATGCATGTAGATAAGTAAGTTTGACTACATTCGCTAGTGCTTATATATATACCCGTTAACTCTTTCACCCATTCATTGTAGCAGTTGTTGCTGATACAACCTCTTTGCTTCTATGTTGTCCATTTGTTGTAGCTATTGCTTTGCCTTCCTTTTGTCAATTTTTGATTGATGCATGGTAAATGTTTTCGCTTAAAATATAAGTGAAAACCTTGACGAATATTTAGTTGTATTTTGATGGTTAAATGTATCAGGCTCTTTTAGAACATGACAAAGTAAATTTAAATAAAATAAATTATTTGTTTGCTGCTAAAAAATAAGCGAAAACGAGAAGTTCTCACCAAACATTAAATTCAATTTTTATTGAAAGAAAAAAAAATGTTAAAAATATATGTAAACTTCAAGTATGTTTGCAATGTAAATTTAATTCAGAATATAATTTTAACTGTGATTAATAAACGGGTATGTATAGTATAATCTAAAAGTGACTACATATATGTATGTTTGCGGGCATGCATGCGGACATGAATGAACTTCTATTGAAATATTAATAAAGAGTTAATGTCTGTCACACCTGGGAAGCAATATCTACAATCAATCAATCTATTTAATTATTTATTTCAATCGATGTCTCTTTTCCATGCAGACACTCCCCATCACCGCTCAATATGAGTTATATGTGTCTGTATATCTGTCTATTTCCACATTCGATGGGCGTAAGCATTAGCAATTCATCAAACGCTCTTAAATAACTTAATTTGTCCTTGACTAAGGAAAACAAGGAGATTTATTGATGAAAATGTATCTATGGACATGAATCTGTTGCACATGAAATGTAATAATAAGGCGGCCCTATGGCTTTATTGTTACTTAATAAATCAATAAATGAAATAACAAAATTTATATTTCGATTTCTATTAACATTTATTCATTGCAACTTTTGCTATAAACATTCAATTTAATGCCTAGTACGTAACGTGCTTTTGCAAACTGTCAACAAAATGGAATAAATAAGAGCTTTCCTGCCTTTACGTTTGCTTTGCTTTTAGAAGGAAATGCTTTTAAACTTTAAAATGTAAATCGATATCTTATGTTTAGAGTTTTATCTAAATTCAATTCGTTTTTTATATAAATGCGACAATTAATTAAATTAGAAAAATTGTTAGTCTTTCCCTTCCATTTGCTCATAGAATAAATGATGTTATTCTATATCTGATAATTTATATATTGCTATATAACGTTTCTTGTATTAAGTTTGTGCGGATAGTTGTACCGGCCTTGTGAGGATTTGCGATAAATTCATCTTTTATTGTACGGATCGATTCAGACTCATTTTCTGAATGAAGACACAAGACTGTCTGTCTGATATCTATTTATGTGTTCTTGTGTTCAACCTATAATTTGATTGATAAAATTTGGTATGTGGACGTGGTTTGGCCCAAGGACGAACGCTATAGAAAATGGTTCGGATCGAAACATTCCTTGGATTTCGCGACAAAAATCGCTTAGTAACGGTTTTTCGGAATTCTAGACTGGGATAAAAACTCTGGATCGGATGGAATAATTCTTTTAATCCCTTCCCTTAGTAAAAAAGCCTTAATTTTATCAAATTTGAAGCATGTAAGTCTATTTTTTGATAAGGGTTCAAATGAAATATAAGACTTTATACGCCAAAATCAACGCATCAAGCAGAGCATCCATAAGCAATTTGGGTAGCAAAGATTTGTTTTTAAAGATCGCATCATATCTAAGGGCTCTCATGAAAGCAACCATTTTTGTGGCGATCAAGTCTAATTTATGGTTTGTTATGGCAGAAGCACCTGGACAATAAAAAATAGCGAAGTTAAGTTAGGCCGGAGCCGAATCTTTTATACCCATCACCGTTATCTTAAAAAAGAGAAAAGGAGTAAAAGGATAAAATTTTCATGCTCTATAATATGGAATGGGTGCAACTGGTATCTTCTATTTTCAAAATAAAAGTTTTTGTCGCATAGGCATCGTAGGCGTGTCCTTTGAAAAGTTTAGGTCAATTCAAAATTTTTTCATAAATTTGTAGGCGATATTTTCATTTTCGCTAACAGGAGAATTTTTATCACAAATACTTCAAAGTTTCCCAAACAGACTGGTGGACAGCCAAACGGGCAGACATGTGGCTAAGAATTTATATATATATAATTGGAAAAACAAAAAAAAGTTTGATGCACTATGATATTTTTGTAAACGAACGGTGCAGCATCGTCCTAGAATGTTCATTCAAATTTTTGTACATTTATTTGCTTTAGTTTATGAGTAACGACGACGAAAAACGAAATTTTTATTCCTTTTGAAAAACAGACATTTTCTCAGATCAGTTAATACTGTAGGCTTGCCCTTCGACCGAATCGGTCCATTTTCAATGCCAACCTGCGTGCAAGGAATTCCAATGTTTAAAAGGAGCGTAATTTGCAATAGTCAACGTTTTGTTACACAACATTTCAAAGGATTGGAAGAATTGATGAGAAATCGGAGGATATAATAAATGAAAGTGAAAATGTATTTTACTATTGAAATCATTTGTTTTTTCTTCTAATATAGAAATCCATAAAATGTCTGAGTATTGGCTTATCTCGGCTCCTGGCGATAAAACTTGCCAGCAAACCTTCGACACGATGAACAATCTAACTAGTAAGCAGAACAACTTATGCAACAATTATAAATTTCATATACCTGATTTAAAGGTTAGTCATCATTCTTCTTCTCCTGTCTAACTTGTCGAAGAATGTGAATGTATTTCGTTTATTATCTTTCAGGTTGGTACCCTAGACCAGTTGGTAGGCTTGTCCGATGATTTGGGTAAACTTGATACATACGTCGAGCAAATTACTCGGAAAGTTGCCGCTTATCTTGGTGAAGTTCTTGAAGATCAAAGAGATAAACTACATGAAAATTTATTGGCGAACAATAGTAAGTAGAAAAGTTACATATTTTTTTTTAATTTTAAGCTTATTTTTAATAATTTTTGGTAGCTTTTCTTACACTATCTCACCTTGGAATGTTTTTAGCTTAAAAGAAAAAACTACATAAATAACTAAACAAAACAATATAATAATAGAAAAAATATTTAGTATTTTATCAACATTTTTAAATGTTTTTTAAACCTTTTTAAAGTAATTTCAAATCTAGCTTTTTATATCAATTTTCTTTTAATACGAAAGTTTAAATAGAAAAAATTTAGATAACCAAATTTGTAGGTTTTATGTTATAAAGAACTTTTCAGCATCATTCCTTTAATAGATTTAAAAACTAAAATTTTTTCAATTGAAAACATTAGGGTGTTATTATTATTATTATTACCGTTATTATTTATTATTTGTTTATCTTAAGACGAGTTCTTTTATTTTATTGTATTTAATGCAAATATTTATTTTGTTAACGATTATAGTTTTCATTTTTTTGATTTTTTTTTTTTTTTTTATGCTTACATCATTACTATCCCATTTCATTACCTATCAGAGTTGGCTTTTTATTTAAAAGAATAATTAAAAACACTATACTGGATCACGGCGCAACATTAAACACCGTACACCACCCTCCACTTATTTATATGACGAGTTTTCAAAAACAAGGTTGTTATAAACGAAATGGTCAGGAAAGTAGCACAATTCAAACGATTGCCAATAACGTTTGTCCTTGGTTCAAGACACATTAGTGTACCAAATTTCTTCAAAAAATTTCAAAACTTGCGATCTGTAGGTTGAAGACAAAAATACATGAAAAATACATTAAGCGGACAGATAGTCTTAGTGCTATAATAAAAGGCGGGTATATCTTAATTCGCTCTGCGTGTCACATACATTCGCGCAAACTTAGTATACCATATGCCAAAGTGATGTATATAAAGAGTATAATAAAAAAATCGGAATAAAAGAAGCCAGTTTGCTTCTTTCATTATTTGCTACTTTCGCACTTATCGCAAATTGTATCTTTATGCGATTTGACAGCATAATTCGAATGTTTATATAGCTTGGTTCAACTTACGTAATTTTCAAATTTCTTAAGAAGAAGCCCTAAAGCGACCTAATTTTATGTTCATCATTGAGGAAAAGGGCGACATCATAAGTCGGAGTCAAGAATAGATTTTCGAAATTAAGTTAAAGAAAGGGAGTTAAGACCAAATTTATTCTTCTACACATAGGCTTCACGCCGTCGTCTACTATGTATACTTCTATGCGTTTGGAAAAGTTCTTATACCCATACGACCTATCCTATATTAGATATAAAATAAAAAATAAAAATTATTTCAAACCCATTTTCTGTTTGTTTGTGTCGCTTTTTACAAAACCGCTTAGTTCCACTATTCTGCTTTATCAATTACCCATTTTTTCTGTTTCATTATATCCCAAAATTGTTCGAATTAGTTCTGTAAAAGAATTCCGATTTAGTAATCTAATCCAATTCTGTTTCAGTTCATTTCGGTAGCAGCAGGAATGACATGTGCTTCCGCTAATATTTCTACTCTATCTACTCTAGGACTATCAAGCAATTCATTAAGCATTATGACTTCGTTGTGTGCTGACCAAATCAGCGTATAACGTTCATTAGTTGTATAAGTTCAGATTATTATTGCTGCCACTTCTTCAAGAAGCCCATACGTTAGTTTGATTTATTTTCGCTCTCATTGAAAATAAAGTTTAAGTGTCCTTAATGACCTATGCGCACAATTTTAAATGGAATTGTTTCCCTCTGATTCTATTATACTCGGAAGTTGTTTTACTTAATACATGACTCAATAAGGTCGTAGGATGACTACTAAACGAAATGTATCAAATTTTCATGCTTTTCGGAGCGTTTTCTTGAAAGTTGCAGTAAAAATTTACACAGTTAGTTTTCTTTTTTGAATTTTTTTAAAGTCATGTAAGTCATGTGGTAAAGCAGGCATTAATATCCATTTAGACACCGACTACTTATCGGACTTATATTAAGAAACTTCAAGCTTTCATTAGCAATAATTTCTACACAAGCATTCTGTATAAGCTTGTATATAAGAACATACATCTAACTTGATGTCCGAAAACTTTAATTTAGCATTTTTTTTTTATTTGCTTTTGTTTTCTGTTTTGTAGTTGATTATTTTCTCTATGTTTTCTATCTTTGAAAAATAGTTAGTTTTTAAATCATTTTATGTAATTTGTGTGTATAAAAGTAAACATGTATGTATGCATCATTAATCAATCTTCTTTCTCTTATGACTCTCTTCTATTAATCACTGTGCCTTAAATGTTGACTGTATTCTTGAATTTTCAAATTCATTTATGAAAAGCAAAAAAATGAAAAATTCTAATTATTTATGTGTCTCTTCAACCTTCAACCTTTGTACCTCTCTCTGCGCGTGTTTTGTTAATCTGCACCTATCGCATTTAATTGCCTGTCCTTTTGTGTTGTTTTTGTTGTTGTTGCTGCTGATTTTTATTTTATACAATTGTGGTTTTTTTGCTGAAATATCTGTCTGCATTACTTTCGCATTGTAAAAATAAAAATCTTTGCAAGCCCGCTGTCATTTAAGTTTTTATTATAAGTTGATTAGTTTTAATTTTGTTTGCTTTAATTTTTCATTTAATTTAGTTTTTTAGATTCCTCTTTTGGATTTTTCTCCTTTTTTTTATAAGTCCAATAGAGAAATATAAAGGAAGATTTACTCGTTTTAGAGATAGAAGTAAATTTCTTAAAAAAATTTTTTTTACATATTATTATATATTTAAAAACCAACTACCGTCAATTGCCCTCATTTATAACTCTGTACATCGAATATATTGCACGTGCATACGTATTCATAGGTGCCGGACCATCTGATGATAGAATATCTGAGAATCATTCAAAATTAAAAAATCAATCATCGGGTCTCTCAAATAGTCTTAGCACAACCACAACTACCTGCTCTTCTTATCAAACAGTAGGAAGCTGTTTAAATAATTCATCGTGCGAAGCATCCGAACCTCTAACACCTGCATGTAGCTGTAATAGACTCGATGAGAACTCAACCGATCTATATGTAACCTGCGCATGCGCCGGCAATGAATGCCATATCCCTTCGCTCACTTATACCAATTCAGTGAATGAAACAACTTGTACACACAATTTATCATCTTCAACCGACAAAATTAATCACAGCCTCAGCCATTCGGCATATGCACAACAAACACATTATTTAACATCAAAAATCCTTAACAACGCTGGCACAGGGAGTCCCGTTAATGCAAAAGCATTGTCAACCGTACCAGCAAAAACATTCACTTACGGTAGAAATACTTACAGTGTAAATAATAATTCCGCCTCCACATCAACTACTCCATTGTGGATGTTAGGTAGTAAAAATATCAATAAACGGTCGTCACAACTGTACCATCGTCAACATCATCATAGATATTTTCATAATTTTGCTCATTTTACGGGACTCTTTACCAATCATAGTCATCATTCCAATTCTAATGAAACGTTGTACTGTGATCAGCAACAGATTAATCGGGTGAAAAACCCGGAACATGAGCTAGAAGTTGGAAAAATCACAACAGATACAGATAATTTTAGTAGTTGTAGTTCAACTACAATACATCACACCGAAAGAAATTCAAAATCCAATAATGATATAAAGGATATTAATCGCACTCTTAATTGGTGGCTACAAAGACATGAGGCGCATTCACCCAAGAGAAGCAGGTACTATAGCAGAAAATGAGAATTTGTTCGTTTTAAAAAAAATTGCAAAAGATCAAATCAACGTTCATTCTACAAGAACGTGTTAGAGCCAGGAAATGTTTTCTAAGTAAAGACTTTTTAAAATTACAAATAAAAAAATAAGTAAAGAAGTAAATATGAAGGCAGTTTGGGAATATTTTGAGGAGAAAGACAAGGACAAACAAAGGACAAGAAGATATATCTGAAACAGTTCAGCATCTTGGTAGTAGAGCTAGTCAAACAGCATGTCAACATATATACAACATGTATGAAAAGCTTTTTCTACCACGTGATACATTGCATGGTTTTTGTAGATTATATATATGAAACACGGCATATTTCTGTAAAATAATCGACTAATACCGCCATGCAACATGTGGCCTTGAACTTTGCCACCTGCCTTCGTGAGCAAAAGTGCCCTTCCATGGCATCTGGGTTGATTGGAGTACACATTTCTGCTGGAAAACAAAGGTATTGAAACAAAAATGGGCGATTAGCTCAATTCATTCCGAGAATACCGGCATTAGCGACCGCTGATATTCTTTCCTATTTTAAATCTGTTTGTTTAAAAAAAATTAGGCGGAGCAGAAACAGTGTAGTAAACAATTAATGAATACGCCGAGTATGGAAATATAGGAAATTTCTATGAAAATTTCTTATGTATATGAAGTAGTCGGGAATGTGTTCGATTTCAAACTCAATCATAGAGTGATTCCACTAGTGGCATAAAGTGCATACGCGAGGTGTGTTCAAAAAAACAGGGGAGTTTATGTTTTTTTCGAAAAATACTTATGTATTCATCAATATCTATTTTGTCTTCTTTAAAGTGATCCGCCTTAGCTATAGTATACTAATGCCTGGTATTTTTCCAATTCCTCAAAGCACGTCTGGTGTCCGCTTTTAGGTATGGCTTTATTCCTCTTTCCATTACCTTTGCCTCGGTAGTCGTGGAAAGACTCAGTCCTTTCGTGGGTCTACTCATTTTTGTGAACAGCAAAAAGTCACAAGATGCCAGATCCGGCACAAGCAATAACGTATGAGCTGGCGCGTTATGGTGGTGCAATATCCATGACTGGTTGTTCTACAATTCCGTATCGTTCGTATTGCTTCACGCTAATGGCGCATAACTTTAAGGTAGCACTCCTTAAAGACGCAACGACCTTCTCACTTTGCACCACGCCATGGCAGTTGACGAAAAAAATTAGGCAAAATCTTCACACTAACGTGGTTAACACGAACACCTTCTCGACCTTCTATGAAGCATTTTTGTCTTTTTGCTCAAAGCAGACTTATCAAATGCCAGTGTCAATATGTTAAATGAATTGGACCACTTTATTTTATTTTCATTTTATATTTTCAATTTTCGTGGACTACGTACATTCGATTTTTTTTTTCTTTTTTGTCGTTGTTTTTTGTTGTTGTTGACGTGACCGAGCACACCAAAACACGCCCAACCTTTATAATGTCAACATTTTTTGAGTGCCAACACGACAAAAAAGAAAAAAAAAGAAAATCGAATGTACGTAGCCCACGAAATTTGAAAAGTCACGTTTTTTTTGAACACACCGCTTATATGTCTGCCAGCAAAGATCTAATCTGCAAGTGACATTTACAAAAACCTATTTTGTAAATCGTTAGCATTACTTTGCTGGCTTTTGGATGTTTTTTTTCACCACCCCACAATTATTGATATAATAACTTTTCAAAAAACGCCTTTGTATGGGGAGTGGTCGAGTTCCACGCTGGGTTTTTCCCTATTTTTTCTCCTTCCTCAATTTTTGTTTTTTGGCAATACACCATAAAGAAATATATATGTATATATATTTACACAGCAATCATTCATCTTCGAGATTAATAAATTTAAATGCTGGATTTAATTTCACATCAACCTCTCATAGATCTTCACCGATGAGTAGTTGTTGTGGCAATAGTCATGGACGCTCCAGTCCGGATGTCGACTCGAATGAACCACCATCATTACCGACCAGCCCACATCCAGGTTAGCTGGGTCATTCCATCTTCCTTCAACTTCTAACTAATCACTAAATTGTTGTGCGACTCGTTTTAATTTTTTCTTGTTTTCTTCTTGTATACTATTTTCTCTTAAATTATTTCCCTTTAGTTCATATTTTACTATTCCTTTTCCAGCAAGCCATTTATGTGTGTCGATGTGCAATATATATGTAAACACGTTCTCCACTCCAAAAAGCACTAATTTTTTCTTTACGTTTTCTCTATATAAAGTTGTTAAAATTATTTAAATCGAAAAATAAAAAAAATGATTATATATATATGAATATCCTAACGTTTCGATAATAATATATATCTGAATGCAATAATATGTGGATGATGTTGAAATCGATTAATTGGAACTAAGGAGATTATGCCTATGTTTACTAGGGCCAAATAAAAACTGCTTCTAATCAATTCGTCATCTACTACGCCCACCATTACCCAAAATTACATACAAATTCTTATGGCCAACGCTATTTATTTGTATTATGTGGGGAGTGGCCGTAAAAATGATCCGATCCAAACCATTCTTGGCTATTTCTGGTCTTGAGCCGAAATATTTCAGGTCAGTGCACCAAATTCCATTACAATATCTCAAATATTTTGACCTATAGGTTGACTACAGAAAACATGGACATTCATCCAATGGACGAACAAGTTAGATTTTCGTGCCCTACACCTACGTGTGGTACAGTGTATATTAAGATAGTGCGATCGTATGTAACACGTATAACGGCTTAAAATGGACCCAATTTTTATTATATCGATCGGTTTCAGAATCATAATCTCAATTGATCTAAATCTGTCTGTCCATCTGAAGTCTGCCCATGTAAAAATATTTTCAAGCTACAGGTCGCAATTTTTGAGATATTTCGATGAAATTTGGTACTGTGACGTGTTTTCACCCTAGGAGGAACACTATTGAAAATGGTTCGAATCTGTCCACAAACTATCCTAAAAAGCCGTTCTATGGAAAAAAATTGCAATTTTCAAATTTTTCTTACCAAAAGTTGCTAAGTAGTAGTATTTTAGAGAACTGAACTTCATACGACAAAAAAGTATAGCTTTCGGTGCTTCATGATAAAAATTATATCACAATGGTAATGTAACATATAAAATTAACTGTAGCTAATTTGGACCATCTCTGCCTATTTTTTGTATCCTACCCTAATACGGATTTTCACGAAAATTGATCCTTTGTAGAGGACAAAAGTTTAAATTTTAATATGTCGTGATGAAAATTGACTCTTAATAGTAACTTCGTAAAAAATAAGAATTTTATTACACAATATGGTTTATGGTATGTAACGATCGGCCTTGCTCGACTCTAATGTTCTTAATTGTTTTAATGAAAAAATGTCCGTGTGATGATACTATTAACACATAATGAAATGTGTTTCTATAATGACAAGATGTTATTGATCTGATTTGGTCTAGGAAGGATTTAGTCATATTCCATAGAGAAATCTACAGGTTTGCGTAGACCTGCCAAATCGAAGGTCATTTCGAAGTGCCGACACGTGTCATTGAAAAGCTAGGTTGTCCGGGAGAGATGGAAGGATATGAAAGAAAATTTCGAGGAATTTATAGACCGACTTCGGCTATTTATTGCTTTAGGGGAGAGGATCGAAAAAGTGGTTTGATCCGAGCCATTCCATTTGTGCTTGGGCCAAAACGTGCGTGTGTCAAATTCGATCAAACTATCCCAATATTGGACCGGCAAACATAAATTGGTCTAACAAAAGGTGGATCTATCTCAACCCCTCCTGCATGTTGCATACATCGTCACAAACTTAATGTACTTTTATGCCACAAGTGGTGTAAGCTAAAAAAAGGGGCAAAGCGATAAAACCTTGTCGATAATTTATTTAATTTGTATTTAATAATTTTATTTTATTTAACTTTTTCAAGTTCTACTAGGCTCTTAAAGAAAATTATTTCGCTGTCGGGTTTTCAGAGTTCCTCATAGAATGTGTTAAGCATAGTCATTTTTACACTACCATTATATAAATAAATTCTGTCATGTGTATGTGTGTGTATGTATGCCTTTGTTTAATTGTTATTCAATTAAATTGTTGTGCTATGTAAATCGGTCAAATCTCGTGGTCTAAATAATTTATATTTTTTCTTAAAATCCTGCATATATGTGTACTATCTTCATAAAATTAGTTGCCTTATTGCATAAATATTGATTTTATTTTTTTTATTATTAATTAGTTGTGTAATTACGTTTTTTATTCCAAACCTTTGTATCAATATGAAAAACGAAAATTTAATGAATTTTGTGATGCGTGCATGAAGACAGAAAATATTGCAAAAACGAGTAAAAACTCTATAGTGACAAAGTGGTCTGGATTCTGACGCTTTTTAATAGTGTTATACCTTAGGCCAAAACAAGTCGATGTACCTAATTTACAAGCTTAGATCAATTCAAAAAATGATTCTACAATGTGACCTTTTAAATAAAGTCTACCAATAAACGAAATATTTCTTGTTTCATCTTTATCTTATCACAAAAATCGCCGGAAAGACAGACAAACCAGCTTAAACTGTTGTATAAGTCCGGGTACACTTAAGGTACGCTTGTACCACAAGCGATGTAGGGTATAAAAATCTATAGTTTTAGATAATATTCAATAAAATGTCGCGACACAAAGGTTTGCGAATATTGCTGATCTTTTTGGTATCTCTATCCTCGTATATTATTGTATTTTTACTTTTATATATAAAAATGATCATCTATGTGTTCCTTAGTAGTGATATGACGAATGATTTCGTGACTGGTTTTTAATTTTTTTTCTGTTTTTTGCTTTGCTTTTATCGTTTAGCGGATTTATCAATATATCTTATCCGTTTCCAATGGGATATGGCTAAGTATCCAATTAAGCAATCGTTACGTAATATAGCCGATATTATATCGAAACAAATCGGGCAAATCGATGGCGATTTGAAAACGAAAGCAACAGCTTATAATAATTTGAAGGGAAACTTACAAAACCTGGAGAAAAAGCAAACGTAAGTTAAGTAATCCCATTTGTTATACATGCCACAGAAGTTACAATACTTGGATATATTCAACACAAAACACAAAACAAATCATAAAATGCATAGAATTTCGGAACAGCATTGGATTCGGAACCAACTTATCATTTTTAGCTCAACTTTCAAAAGGTCATAGAAATAACGACTATAGAGAAGTGACGCATACTTGATTTCGTCTGAAATTTGCCCACAGACAGATAGTGTTCTGGCTAGAAACGTTGCAATAATAGCTAAAATAGTGTAACCATAACTAGATATTGTTATGAAATTTATTACAAATATAAATGTGGGGCATCTAAGCACATGGTGTCAAAATCATCATGAACGTCTACAATTAAAACAACAGCCTTGTAAAAAAAGGAGAAAAATTCATTTCAAAATTCCTTATTATTGATGGGCTCAATGTTTGATACAGATCAAGAATATATATATATATATATATATATATATATGCACATGTTACTTTGCATTGTCTGTAAAGTTTCCTTCTGCAAAACAAAGCAATTAAATCCTAATATTTTGTAGTATTAATAGACATAGCCTAGCTTTTCTATTTTTCTATAGTAATCGCAGGATCATCCATGCAATACACCTGCAAGTTTACATACCCTGCAGCCCTTGTGAGTATAATAAGAGTATGCTAAATTTATGCGGATATAATGCAACACCCAGAAGGACTTGAGATACGGCCACCTTTTATTATACTGATCGATTGTGAGCAGAAAACTCTATAATCTACGGGATATTTACAGATGTTTGCCTCTTTACTGAATTTATCAGCGTCCGCCGTCCACCAAGCTTGGACTGCGATACTTGGTAAACAAACACTTTATGACCTCATCGTACATTTGGAGTAAACCTGGCGTATCGCAGAACACATAATTTAATGAATTTCTTCGGTAAAAGACATTTCCCAATTCCTCTCTTCGTAACTTTCATTATTTTTATTTTTTTTTGTGATGCTGGCATTCCGGAACAACATCGATCATAAGATCGACTTGCAACTTATTTACTTTTGCGCAAACCATCCCTGACATATTATGTTGTTTTAGTTATTTATTTATTTTTTTTTTTAATTTCAGAGGTAGTCTGTTGACTCGTAATCTAGCTGATTTGGTTAAAAAAGATCATTTCATATTGGATTCTGAATATTTGACTACTTTGTTAGTGATTGTGCCAAAGTAAGTGTTTTTCCTGAAAAGAATCATTAACTAAATTATTTGTGAACCGTGAGAGCATTCATTTCACTTCTTATTATTTTAGAATCCATTGTCAGGAATGGATTGCTAATTATGAAAAAATCACCGACATGATAGTTCCACGCTCGTCCACACTAATCACTCAGGATAATGATTATTGTTTATACAATGTTACTCTGTTTAAGAAAGTCACTGAAGAGTTTAAATTGCATGCACGTGAAAAAAAATTTATCGTACGTGATTTCGTTTATAATGAAGAAGAGTTGACAGCCGGTAAAAACGAAATTACAAAACTGATTACCGATAAGAAAAAACAGTTTGTATGTGATCCATCAATAACATTTGTGCTTACTTTTAAAATATAATGCAACTGTTTACTTTGTGTATATAAATAGGGCCCTTTGGTTAGGTGGTTGAAGGTGAATTTCAGTGAAGCTTTCTGTGCTTTAATACATGTGAAAGCCTTACGCGTCTTTGTTGAATCGGTTTTAAGGTAACTTATTTCCTTTATTGTAAGGTATAATTGTTTATATTTTTTCATTTCGTAGATATGGTTTGCCAGTCAATTTCCAAGCTATACTCATTCAACCTCATAAAAAGAGTATTAAACGTTTGCGTGAATGTTTGAACCAATTGTATGGACATTTGGACGGTTCTTCCGCTGGTGCCCAAGCCAGCGGTATTGATGTAAATAATATTAAAAAAAATATCTAAAGTATTCAAATATGTAATCTAAAGAATGAAATTCTTTTTCCTCAAATATTTGCAGAATGTCGATATACCTGGCCTGGGTTTGGGTCATGCTGAATATTACCCTTATGTATCCTATAAAATCAATGTAGACATGATCGATTCGGGTAAAATGTAAAGTACGAAAATTTACAAAAAATTATTGTTTGAGTTTCCGACTAAAATAAAAAAAATTATTAAAAGTAAATGTTAGATACATGTACGTATATTTATGTTGTGTACTGCAAATCTATATAGCACAACAAATTTTAATTTCTAAGTAAAAATCCAATAAAGAGCAGTTTATTATTTGTTTTTTTTTTTTTTTTTTTTTTTTTTTTTTAAAATCGGTAGCGCACTTAATTAAAAAAGTAAAACTTATGTTTAAGTCAATTTTGCGATTTGATTATTCATTCAGTTCAGTGATATTATTGATTCCCCCGGCTCTATATATTCACATTTTAGCCATAAAACTCCTTTATAGAGTTTATAAACTGCGTTAAGTTATATATATATTTGTAAAGTTTCATTGAAAAGTTAAAAAAAAGATAATAGAAAAAACGTATAAAGTTGAAAGTGTATAAAAATCAGAGAATAACCGTGCCCTTCCTTTTTATTTAACGTTCCGCTAACAGTATTTAGAAGATAAGTATAAGCGCACCATATAACAACAATGCTTTATATACGGGTATACACTTCACACATCAGAACAATTGATGTCTAAATTTAAAAAAAAATTTTGTATATAAGAACAAAAAAATGCCCGAAAAGCTCAAACTTAAACTTATAAATCAATACGTTCAACATACCAAAAAAACGTTAAAGTTTCATTTTAAAGGATGTATTGCGTTGAAACAATAAAATCAGAAATGTTGTTATCTGGTTAAATAAATTACTTATAAAGTAATATTCGAGGAAAAGTTCACTCAACAATAGCCTAATAGCTTCACGATTGCTTAACATTCAGAGAAAAAAAAAGTCGAGTAAAGCGCAATCTAAAACTAATTAGAAAATCCTGTCTATTTCTGTAATATTTTATTTTTAGAAGTATATGAATTGATTAATTATCATACCAAGTGCATGCATGTTTATAATAGGAAAATGTTCTTCTTTTTGCTTAATTTTAATATAAAATAGCAACTTTGCAAACAAAAAATCTTAGTTTTTATAATATTATATATATAAATATAAACATATATTTTAATATATATAGAAATATTTTCAAAATTACAAATACATGCAATGTGGACAAAAAAGACAATTAACTATTTGTGTTGCAACGGTAAAACGGCAACAAAATTTATCAATAATAATGTAAATAATTATGTAAAAAAAAAAAGAAAGCCAAGATAATAATGAAGAAAGCACAGAACACAAAACATTCCGAATTCATTCGTTTTTGTAAAACCAGCTCAAAAAGCGGACTACATATTAACGAGATATTCAGAAGTGTAGATGGAAAAGGGTAAGTTCTTCGATTACTTCGATTGCTATGTTTCATTCTCAAAACTTGTCACACAGATCCTAAGGTTAAAGTTTCTTAAACAATAATTGAAAAAACCAGATTTTTGTTCATCACTTAGAAACAAAATAAGGCCAAAAAAAGATGAATTCATCTTACGACTTAATTATTATATTGTGAGGGCCTGTTTTTGCCCAAAACCTGGTGCTGCGGTAGCCCAGCGTCTCCAGGTTTCCTTTCACAAGAAATTTCTGCAAAGTATTCTTTTCTTAGAGAATTATATTTCAGGATTTCTTCGTTTACATTTACAATTTCCTTTTCTGTATCAAAGGTAAGTTCATTTTTCTTAATCTAAAGGCCTAGCACCACCATCGTTGTAACCGCACGTCCACTCCTTCGCTCACCTCGCGATCAACTCCCTCTTTACTCTAACTCACAAACTTGACTAAACCTCGGCTTAAGCTAACTATTCTAGTTTCACTTTACTTAATTTCTTTTTACTGTAATTCTAACTCTTTTAGTCGAATTTACTCCACAGCCACCTCCTCAGAGACGGAAAACATGTGAGGCTAAAACGAGGGACGACTTTGGTTCCTCACAATATATACAAAATAATATAAGCAACCTACCATTAAAAGAAATAGAACAAGCTTAACTGTCAACTTAACCTGCATAAA